ACCGTACATTGCGTGCTCACCGGTGGAATAAACTCTCACAGGTGCATGCACGAGTACAACACGCACACACAAACGCCAAGGTGCGCACACATAAATACACTACCTGCCAAAAGCCCACAACTTTATATAAGGGAAAATGTGCCTGGCAGGCGAAGAACTGTTCTCAGTAAACAGTTACAATAGTAGCAGTCAGACATGAGTGTTAGGGCGGGCAGCCACAATACCCCTGTCACCAGAGAACTATTGTGAGAGGACTTACGAAATTCCATTTGTATACACTGCTTATGAAACAAATGGTTCATCTTGTTATGAGTAAGCACTCTTGTGAAATACCTACTACAAATCTCAAAGATGGACAGAAAGTCTGAGGTGACAGATTCAGCCGCCACATGGTGTTAGGTGAGTTTTATTTACAGTGGTGTGACTGACGCTGCTGAGGGGCTATAAACTGCTATTAGAGCAGAGCTGGATTCCAACACAGGCCTGTGGAATCACAGGCACATTGTCCGTCTCTGGATTTGACACAGCAGTCTGGGTGCCCAACGCCAGCCAAACAGGCACGCAAACACTACATACATTGACATATAGGAATTCACATACAGACTCCACACTCGCAAGCGCAGGCTGACATGCTCATATTTATGTACAAGCAAAACCACACATGAAAAGGGGGCTTGTGGAAATAACTTTAAGCAACTGCAGGGATTCAAATTGTTTATTTATAGGCGGCACTGCCTGTTAATGGGCTTGGCTCTTACTGCAGAGCTGAGACAGATCTGTTAGCAGGGAGGTGTGATACTGCAGCACAACTCGTCCCTGTAGTGAAAATGGCTCCATGCTATGAAAATGTTTTCCAAGGTATAATGTAATACAATAAGGTAAATATCTTACAACTATTATATGGTTAGAATTAACTTCATTTTCATTTCATATTCAGAATTCAAGTATGAATAACTACACCTGTCCTCATTGCCAATTTTTATTATCAGTAGTAATTATTATACCTAATTGTTATATTCCTGTAAAACAAGATGCTGCCTGAGTTACTGCAAACTCAATTATTAAGATATAAAGTATACACAGACACAAACAAACACACTTTTTATTCTCTAAAGATGTGCATTGTTTTGTAATTTATTGTATGTATGTAACCTGATTTTATCTGGGTAAATAAAAGGTAAATAAAATAAATAACAAGATTCATACATATCAGCTTTCGCATACACATGTATGCATAACAATTCCTAGAGAGTAATGCATCTTTTCCCAGTAAGCAGCTTAACAAAATAGGGCTTCTCATCCATGAACTGCACTCTTGAATGAAGTGCGTTTTCGATTACAGTTTGGAATTAGAGAACAGAAAAGGTTATTCTCATATTTTCAAACAGCTCATTTAGTTGCATTGGCATAATTGTTTTTAGAGACAAGTGAAGGCCCTTCCCTCAGTCGTATCAATTACGATTCACTGACCTTGGACCAGCTGACTACTTAAGCCTTTTAACTTCAGCACATTCATTTGACATTATCTTGAAAGGATCAACAAGGTTTATGTATATATAACAGCACTGACAAGTCCTCATTAGAACTGCAACCGTGGTGCTATAAGTCTCCTTCATATTCTCACACACACACACACACACACACACACACACACACACACACACACACACACACACACACACACACACACACACACACACACACACACACACACACACACACACACACACACACACACACACACACACACACACCACACACACCACACACACATCACACACACACACACACCACACACAAACCACACACACACACACACACACACACACACACACTACATAAGATACCACTATCTATTCCCAGTCCTGCCCCCTCAGGCCTTCTAATCTTTTAATTGAATCTTTTGTAATTATAATGAAATAACTGCGGACTTCCATCAGAGAGAAAATGATCGGGGGCCAGAATGTGCCAGCGGTCACAGGAAGCTCTTACTTCTCTGCCTTTGCTGCCGAGATACCCCCATTTTCAATTAGCCCCTCAATTCACATTTGAACAGCACATTAAGGGAAAACAAAGAGGCGTGTGTCTGTGTGTGTGTGTGTGTGTGTGTGTGTGTGTGGGGGGGTGATTGCCAAGTGATTGATCACTCGAGCAATCTCTCAGTATGATGTAACCCTCTTGTATGTATCACTTGCAACATCACAATTAATATCCAAACAGTGATCAAAGAGATTGAAAATAAGAGTGTATTTTGGTGAGAAAAACACACTTCTCCTTCTTCTGACCCTGGAGAACTGCTAAGCGTAATTGCCTCATTCTTCTACGTAAATGAACATTGACAGAGGGGGGATCGGTCTGCATAGGCTCTCTGAAATGGCTTCCCTGACAGTTGACTAATTCAGTTCTCATTGACGTATGACTAAATCAGTGTCCATTATCCTTACGCGCAGGGCAGCTCAGATGTAGTACCAGCTCCGTGGTATAAGGCACTTAAGAGCATTACACAAGCAAAGCTGGTTGAAAGGGTCTCCTTTTCAGCAAGCTGACAAGGCCGCCCGCCACACATGGTGTAGATCTGACATTGGCCAGGCCGTAGCCTCTCACTAACCTCTGACATTGAGCTCTCCCACTGGTGAACAAAAAAACAGGAAAACTGACCACACACTTTCAAGTCCTCTGACTGTCCCGGGCTAATGGCCAACAACAGTGACACTTATCACCACAGGAGATTTACTGCCACGACAATAGGATGTACTCATTTGGTGGAAGATTTAGGGACACACACATTTTCCACACATTTCTTAAGAAATAGTGTCCGTTTTGATTTATTTTACAAACATTCATGCTTTCACGGAATTCCCCTCCAACACACATTTTCCCACACTATTGAACTATTGTTTCAGAGATTAAAAGGCGTAGCTTGACCACAGTAATTCATTGTTGAGTATCATGCCAGAGCCAGGTGACTATTTATTAACCCTGTGGTTATTTTGGTGTGCAGAGTGCATGCTTGTGTTAGCGCGTCTTTAGAAGCGAGACAGGTCCCTCTGTTGTGCAGCTGGGGCGGCTTAATGAGATATCAGACTCAAACATCAATTCATCAGCCTCATTGATGAGGACAATGAGGGGCAACTGCTTCTGCAAAGAGAGGCATTATGGCTCCTCATGTGGGGATAGGGCTGCCTTGTTTACAAAGGTTATTGGGCACAGAGGGCTTGAAACAGTACACCACACCAGCCTCCACTTTGCTCTGCTCTGTTAGTCTCAGCTCCCATACCCTCGGGGCAGCTTCTCTGGACTTTTTTTAGCTCTTTGATTTTTTTGAAACAAAGAGCCAATGGAAAATGTTCTTCTGGAATCTGGAGGCCTAATTTTCTAAATGTGTGTGAATGGGCTAAAAGGAGAGGCCATAGAAGTGTGATTGATTAAATAAACAAATCTCATCTTGTTATCATCAGGGCTTCCCTAGCTAACAGAGCTGAGCAGGCTGGAGTCCCCCCTGGCCTCGGCCTCCAATGACAGGGCATCTGTCTTCATTAAAGCTCAGCCAGTGTGCATGACAGCCACTGAAACGCTGGTGTCTTCACGATTAATGAAGACAGATGACTCCCCCCAAGAGGCAGCGAAAAGGAACAAAAAGCAGGATGACGAACACACAGGAAAATACCAAACAAAAAATTCAGAACTAAATTCAAAAGTCTTTCCAAAAACAACAACACAGTCGTGCTGTTATTCCCACTGCTCTATCTCTTCTTGTGTTCTTGATTGTTTTTCCACTGTCATCTCTGGCTTGACTCTCTCCACACTTCTCCCACCATACCATGCATACACACCCCCACTCCTTTTCTACTCTCACACGCTCTCTCACAACAGTTGCGGCCCCCTGTAAGTGTATGGAAATGGACCCCAGTTTTGTCTGTCCGGAGACAGGCCTGTTGTTAGATTCAGAGACTTGTCTAAAGTCAGAGGCGGAAGCAGAGCCAGGGAAAATGAGAGTCTGACAGAGGAAACTGGAGAAAGAAAAGCTTGCTAGAATATCCCTCTGCTTATTTAGACTACATTTCTAATTTATTCATTTATACTTTAAATAATTCATCTACTTATTAATTCATGGCTCCAGAGGAATATCATTATCCATCTTGTATCCAGAAGCATAAACAATTCTCTGGCCTATGAGGACTGCGGCAGGCTGAACAAAACTTTCAACATATGTATTATTAAACAGGAAATATTTGCCAATAACTTTCTGTGAGAAATGAATAGGAAACCAAACTTTGAAGTGTCAAAGATGAAAAGATGAGCCAAACCTGTTTGTGTATTCAAAACGTCAGCGTTTTCTCTTCCTGTCACACACACATAACTCTTTTACTCTTTCATCTGGGTACACTCATAGTTTTGTTTTTAGTATACAGCACCTGGCAAGGTCAAACCTCAGGTGGCTTCACATTGTCATTGAAACTTGACTCCATATGCTTTAACCCAGAAGTCACACACATACACACACCTACATACAAGTACACAAACACACACACACACACACACACAGTGCATATCATATCATAGCAGAGTTTCTTTCAGATGGCTGAGCAGCTCAAACTGGCTTTGGGCTGTGTGTGTGTGTGTGTGTGTGTGTGTGTGTGTGTGTGTGTGTGTGTGTGTGTGTGTGTGTGTGTGTGTTGCGGGGGGGGCTTGAGGAGGAGAGGAGAGGAGACTGTCTGTCCCAGTCTTTTCCTGTGCTGCTCTGTAGCCCCTGACAGCAGCCCCCCTTGGTTGAGCCCTGAGGGGTAAGCAAGCCAGCAATAAGGCAGAGAGAGAGAGGAAGAGTGTGTGTGTGTGTGTGTGTGTGTGTGTGTGTGTGTGTGTGTGTGTGTGTGTGTGTGTGTGTGTGTGTGTGTGTGTGTGTGTGTGTGTGTGTGTGTGAGTGAGAAAGAGAGAGGGAAAGACAGATAAAGAAAGACGTGACGGTGTCATACAAGAAATCCAAACAGGATGCCACTTACACTGAACACTGGCACTGCCCGTCCAGGCGAAGGGGTCCAGCCCGGTAAAGAAGGGGCTTGCCTTCCGCAGCATGCATGCACCGCGGCTGGTGACATCATAGAGCTGACGGGGACCCATTCCCAGAGCCTCCATACAGTCAAACATGGCACCCCCCCCCCCCGCCCTCAGCAAAAATCACTAAGAGCCCTCAGTCCTGCCTGCGTCCTGCCCTGCTTCCAGCGCTCACGTCACTCGCTGAGGCAGTGACAACAACAAACAGCAGCAGCAACAGCTAGCCGGATCTGCTACCTTCCCTTCCCTGCCTCCACTTATCTCTGGCTGTCACTCTCTCTGCTGCCCTTTCCTGCCGATGCTGGAGTTTCCCCTCTCTCCCTCTCAGCTGGAATGCAGATCTGGTTCCTGCCTGGCTGAGCTGAGCGTTACTCTGACTCTCTCTCTCTGACTCTCTCTTCTCCCCCTGCCCTTGGGTGAGCTGCTCCCTGTGTGCTGTAACAGACCTAAATAACAGCCTCTCACAGCTCTCGCTGAGCCCCAGACACGGCGGAGCGAACCAACTGCCTCGGCATGACGCTCTGAAAGGGGGTGGAGAGAGAGTGAGAGAGAGAATGCCAGAGAGGGAGGGCCAGAGAGAGGGACCCAGGAGGCGGTGGGGGGAGCAGGGAGGGAGAGGGAGGAGAGGGGGCCGGCCAGCGGAGCCTGCACTAGAGAAAGAACTGATCTGGTTAGAGGACAAAACTCTATTGCTATTCTTCTTTTGCTTTTTTTGTCCATGCTGCTTTTGTGTTTCATATTTCAGCACAGAATGCAAACAAACACGGTCCCCCTCCCCTCGTGTCCCATTCAGATCTGGTCCCTGTCTCTGTCTCTCTTTCCATCGCACCTCCCCCAATTCCCCTGCAGTAAATATGAGCCCCCTCCCCTGAGCCCCCGTCTCTAATCATAACCATATTAAAGTCCAGCCACTGGCCGGGTGAGTATGTGTGTGTGTGAGAAAGAGAGCCGGAGAGAGAGAGCGAGACAGAACATTGTGTCGTGGTTGAACCCAGAAACCAGATGCCAGGGTAAATCCCTCCTCCTCTCGCTCTGTCTGTTTGAGGGAACAGAGGATGGGAAGTACGCTCCGTCTCTCCCCCTGGAAGTGCTTTAACAGTGATGAATGAGGACTGCCTTGCTCAATCCCCGCAGTGCATTTACAGAGACAAATACCCCCAATATACAAACACACCATGTGCTGGACACACTTCTCACAGGTTCTCTTGACCTTGTTTGTGATAAATCTCTGAGCAACCATCATGAGGAAATACAGATGCAACGATTCAGATGTGATGTTGTTGTGTAAGTATTCATTTTAATGTGCCCCCTTAATGTATCATTGAGCCAGAAAATGTGCCCTTCCACATTTAGCCCTTCTTTAACACAGGCTGTTCTTTGTATATCGAAAATAATTCAATTTAAAACATAGCAGTGGCAGTAAATCAAAGTAAATCAATAGGCGGTCTGCGGTCAATAAAAAAGCCTGCCACTGGTCCTAACTGTTGCTCAGCAGACGGATAGACTCTGGCCGGGCTAAAGCAAACAGCTTGATACAATGGGAGATGTATGATAATAGAATGGCTTTGGTTTGTGTGCCTCCCACATTCATCTCCCCCCTGTCAGGCAAGTACAAGTGGTACAGCCCAGCAGGCAAAAAAGACAACATTTCCTGTCAATCTGTGCTGCTGGCTACGCTCTCCATAAACACACACTGCCCTCCCTCCTCCTCGTCCGTCTCACACTTCACTCTTTTTCCTGTCTCATGAAAAAAACTGTGCCTTCACATTTCGGGCTATTTTGAAGGATTTTGATCAAAATGTTTATTAACCTTTAAGCTTTTGCTTCGGTTGGGATCTTGTGTTTATTTTGTTAGGCTGGCACACTCATACACACATTCAGGTTGATACAGCTCACACACTCACTCACACACACATTTAACAGCTCTTTTGTTGCATCAAACAGTAAACAACATCAGTAGTTTGATGTGTTTCTTCATACAGCTGTCAGGTCATAAAGAGGAAGCTTTATGACAGCAAGAGAGAACAGTGGGTCAAGAAAACAAACTGTTATCTATCAAAGATGCCCCTGCTAACAGTTTGTAGTTAAAGGTTACTCTCTTCCTTTTCGCTCTCTACCCAATTACACAATAATTCAAAAGAATGTACTGATCTTAATGCATTTCAGATTAAATCATCACTGCCACGAGTCACATTTTTATGATCCACAGGCATTCTTCTCACACTCGTCTTTCGTCTGTTTCCTGTGTTGTTTTTTTCTTTCTTTCTCGCAGCTAGTTTCAAACAGCATCCTGGACATTTTAAACTGGCTAATCCCCTGGTGTTCAAATGTTCCTTGTAACATCAGTGTTGTTTGCCAGGGCTGCTCTCTGGACTGATGAGGCCAATACAATCGATTTATAATATCATGTACTTACACTTGAAAATTATTTTGTTTTTGTAGATTTATGGATACGACTCTCGTGGTTTTTACATTTCATTGTTACTGTGTTTGAGACTGTAATTCAGACCACTAACCCCAGGTTTCCCTCTTATTGGCACAGCACTGTGAGCTGAGAGTCTTCCAGTGCTTCAGAGGGTTTGCAGAGTGAGTTTAGACATCTAATCTACACATACTCCATACTGCTGCTGACCCAGGCTGGTCCCTGCCTCCCCTCCCTCCTCCTCTTCCTTCCCCAGCCAGAGAGGTTGAACTCTAGAAGAAACCCCCACTGGGCCACTAACTTTCCCCCCAAACTTATCCTGCCCTCCCTCCCTCTCTCGCTCACTCTCTGGCTCACAAGTCTCTTCATCACTCTCCCTAATACTCTCCCCCATTTCATCAAGTTTCCTATGGCCATTTTTTACCCATAACAGCATGATTTGTTTTAGTTGACAAAATGCTCTGCTTTTGTTTCTGCTTTTGGAAATGTTTCATTTTCAGTGGCTGCCAACTCACTGGCCCTTTTTTGAGACTGCTGCATTTAATCAAATGTAATTGCTCCGATTAGACCAGACTTCTGCTCTCATTCAAAATATTTGAATGTTTCTTTTGTGATATGATGTTTCATGTCTTTATCTGTACAGTAGATAGCTCAATCAGCTGCTCCCAGACTGCTTATAGTTCCACGTGGGCTGGAGCCCTGCAGGAAAATAAGGCTTTACTACTGTCTGACACTCTGATGCCGATTACAGATAAGACGTATACAACACATTGTTGCCACTTCCTCTTCTAGGTTCTAGCCAGGCAGTCAACAACACAGTGGTGTGTGAGGCAATAAAGACTGCTTGTTTATAAATGCCTATGCGCTAAACGCAGCACGGTGATTTTGAAAGGAATGTAGAGCTTTTGCAGCGCTGATGTGAACATATGTGCAGTGTGTGGACGTGCTGAAACAGATTGCCGGTGATGATAGAGACACTGAACACCAGCACAGAGCGCCCTCTCACTGCAGACAGTTTCAGGTTACTCAGAAACACAGGCAGAGGTCCATACACCCAAAACCAATTTCCGTTTTATAAATGATGAACCTCTTATGAAGATGAGTTATGTTTGTTAGAGCACAATCCAAGCGTTCTCACTCATCATATCCATCAACTGCTCGACCAACCGCGGGTTTTACACATGTTCAGCTCTGACAAGACATGTAACCTTATCCACTCATCTACTCACTCACAATCTCATATCTCTGAAGATACCTGATGTGTCACAGATGAGGGATGAGAGGAAGGTGAAGTATGACATGGGGCGGTGGCCATGTTGGCCTCTGTTCAGGTGCTGGTCCCAGCGAAGGCCTAACAGAGCTACTTTTCAGAGCTCTATCACTCTTGGCCATCTTTCAGAAAGTGTTTTTCACTCTCTGTCCCTCTTTCTCCCTCTATCTGCACTGTCATGACATTTTGCTACCCGTGTTTTGTGGGAAAAAAACGAAAGATCTGTTAGTTGTGCGGCCAAAAATATTCTACCCCCCCCCCCCCAAGCCTGTCTTGTTCTCGTAGGCCCGCCCTGTGCCTATGCGCCCTCCCACGTCTTCTGAGAGCCCACCCCTCATTTCTCGCCATTCCGCGCTCTTTGTCTTGCACGTGCCCATGAAGACACATCTGAAAACAGACCCCTCCCATTTTTAATAGTAGCCTCTTTATCTTCATCTGTCATCATGTCAGAGCTGTAGTAAACTCTGTGGCCTCTCCCTTACCAGCAACCTTTGCTGACTTTCCACACACGCAGGCATGCAGGCACAAGCAAGCGTACACACACACACACACACACACACACACACACACACACACACACACACACACACACACACACACACACACACACACACACACACACACACACACACACACACACACACACACACACACACACACACACACACACACACACACACACACACACACACACACACACACACACACACACACACACACACACACACACACACACACACACACACACACACACACACACACACACACACACACACACACACACAAACACAAACACGCAAACTTTCAGAAAGTTTCCAGCACTTAGGGCAAATTGGCTCAAACTTGCACAGAGGGATAACGAGAGGAAATCCAAGGTGGAGGCTGAGGAGAAAGAAAGTATGAGAAAAGAGCAAGGGAATTCAGGAGAGCATAAGCCTAAAGGGTTTAGGTGGATATCATCGGAGGAGCAGATATTCCACCCAGTTTCACAAAACCTCTGTCAGTTGGTGCTTTAAATTGACTGGGAAACAAAGTCAGCCTTTGTGCTCAGCTCATTCCCCCCTCATCTATTGAATCAAGGCCAGTGCTAGATACAAAATAGAAAAGAGCAATGTGAGGGGAATCGATTTCCAAAAAGAAAGGGGAGCGCCTTGGAGAGCTGTCATCTTGAAGCGAGCAGTCGCCAAGGGAGATGAAAGCGGGGATGTCAGATGATGCAGGGCTGTTTATTACAGCAGTGGAGGCTCCGGTCTCACTGATGGATCAAGCCAAACAAGCGCTGAACGTGCTGTCATCACACACAAGTACACAAATGGTCCAGTCCTAGCGATGCTAATTTGCTATTTGGATCATGGTCACAGGAGCAGAGGTGCCAGCGAGCAGATGGCTCCTTAATGGCCCTTTTTTTACTAATTATGTTTTTGACACTCGTAATGATGTACCAACTGGATGGTTCATCATTAAATGTAGTAGTATCTTTACATTGATTCAAATATACAAACCCGTTGAAGGATAGAGATTATATTTGTAGTCTTATCCACAATTGTACCTATACAATAAATCAACAAATGTATGTATATACTTTATATTTAGACTAAAGATGTTGTTCTTTGTTAAAAAGAAATACAACATTGTTTTTATTATTATTAATCACTTCCAATGTTTTATTTCAGTCTTTTAAATGATTGTTATCCATATGCAACGAGAACATAATAGGCTACTATTAATCCCAAATATATTTCTCTCATTCCTGAAATTCTCCTGAAATTCTTTGAAATCCAAAATGTTTTCACCCCAAGCTCAGCCCCCTTCAATAAATCTAACAGAGATCACAAATGACAGAGAGATGGA